ACCTGGTTGAACTACCAAACCACTCCAACTCTCACCTCCATACGATCCCAGTCAAACGGCACAATCTTTTCAACCAATAGTGACACTTAAAAATGAATGAGGAGGAGGTTACCATTGTTTTCGAAAAATGACACTAAGTAGACTGCAGACAATCTAATTTGTCATTTTTAGGTATTGGTATCGCAGTCTAGTAATCTATTTTAATAAACTTTTAAATGTACCATCGTTGCGTGCCAATTTAATCAAACGAAGGCCATCAAGTAATTCACAGCCATTGTCTCAGGAGTTCGACAAAATCACTATCAAATTAAAAAAACCTAAGACTGAAAAAGAGATAATTTACATATTAGCCAAATGCCTAAGTGCGAATTTGGATCGGGAGATCCGATTTCACAAGATCACGCGAAACAACATGACCATATTTAAGCTGCAATTTATCGAGACGTCAGTAATTCGCAAGCAGAATGTTGTAGATAGCCCAGACATAAAGTTGAAATACCGTGCGCATAAATCTTTCTCTAGAAAGTTAAAAGTGCCCAAGGCCGTTTGAGGGAGCGTTTAAAAAGTGTTTCATTTCTTTTGACTCTTGACATCAAGTTTAATGAATGTCTGTGCGCAATTTTACAAAGTTCATATTTCTCCCGTCTCATACTGGCTGCAAATTTAAGCAAACGAGGACGGTGTATAAGTAGGCGGTCGAAAGAACTTTTAATTCGAAGATGGTAATGCTGATTCCCACCTTGTGCTGGCCTTCCTTTTCTTAAGAGCTTATACGAAATTCCATTAATTAGGCAACATGATTGGTTGTAGATAAAATCAAGTGGTTGAAGCCACGCATTCTGCTGCGCAATCAAATCGTAACTTCAGTGCATATTATCGATAAGTTTTATCGATTTTCTCCAGATCAGCGGTCATGGTTCCAACGTGTGCAAGCAAACAGCACTTTCGCGAGACGTATCGGACAAAACTCTGAACTTTTTAAGTTCTTCAAAATGGTAAATATTACCTTGCGACAAAGTCACTTTTATTATTCCTTGATTCCCGAGTGGATGACTGCCATCGCTTACAAAGTTATCAGCAAATTCAAATAGTCTTAGTCATGAGCACCACTCGTTCATTGGCCAAATTGTGAATGGCCCTCACTAAGATTCAGAATTAAAACAGCTAATGCATCAATGATAACACGGCAAATATACCAACAAGATGGCCTGATAAAACGAATCAATAAAAATCGATATCCTGTCCTATCTGCTGCACGCTTTGTGCCTTGTTCGTATGAGTCGCAGATCACCATAGGAATGCTGCGTTCGTTGGCTCTAAGTTGTCCATAGTAATAAGTGGTCTGAATGTAAACACGTCATTCTGAATTATGCAAACGTACTGTAAAATTTAGCACTTTAAAGTCTTCTGTCTTCCTTTGTTTTACTAGACCGGCACTTCGAATTCGTGTACACTCTGATTTGAAATCAGCGCGAAACCAACGCAGTTAATTCGCGCAATTTCAACCCACACAAAATTCTGCTTAATTTTTCACATTTTGCACCGAGCTACATAACACGTTTTCTTATGGCACAAAAAAGCAAAAAAATATCAGTGACAAGCTTACGACTACCATAGTTATTAGGCCTTACAGAAAACATCGGTTAGACTGTTTCTGGAAAAGCACTAAGCTCAAATCACGAATTTTTTTCTCTTTTTCGTACTATGTTTCTGTACCGAATCGCCAGATATGCCCTTTGCACATTCACTGCTTGCAGCAAGCTGCCAATGGAGACGAAAAAGCCCCAATTAGCTAACGCCGACTTGTTGAATTTGCACACACGTCCACATTGTCTAGAGAACTGACAAATGAAGGCTTTTTAGGGATTCAATTCTAAATTTATAAAGTGCACCTCCGTCTGTGATGGGGAATATTTCTGTCGGGAAGAACGAAAAGTTAGAAATCTACACGAGTTAAAACTGGGTCAAAGATTTAGCCACTCGTCAGGAGCCCTCAAATGTCCACGTCCAACCATTACGGCTAAGTACAGCATTCATTAACGCCTTTTCAACTCGTGATTCCTATTGGCTAGTTACGTGCCAAAGTTCATTTACAAAATGCCCACCTGAGCACGGCGTCCGTTGGATATCGATTAACGACAAATTCAACTCGTGGATGCTATTGGCTACTTACGTGACTAGAATTTGCTACAGTTTGTTTAAATAAACTATAGCCAGGTGCAAGGTTATTCGCGAGAACAAGAGGATAAGTGAACTAGTTAGGACTTATTATTTAGTTGTACACGTGAGAAACATGTCATTGGTTGAATCAACTAACATCATTTGTAGCCAATGAGGATTAACCATTATCATACTACTATAGTGTATTTATAAGTAAATGTGTTCCGAAATTACAATGCGCACATGCATTCGCGCATTTAGTTAAATTAATAATTAAACAGCGAGGCGTGCAGTTAAATACGCCTTGGAAAAGCGGGGTGGGTGGAGTACCGAAATCTGACCTATAAGGGCGACTTATTGTGGAACAACCTATCAGGTAATTGGAAATTTTCGTCTCCTTCTCCTCCTCCTTCTGTCGGACGCGTTCCGACCAGCTGTGCATTTGTGTGTGTGTGTGTGTGTGTTAATTTTCCCTCAGTCACACGCCCCATCATCCTCCACCGACGCCGCCGCCGCGTCTTATTGCTGCACAGGCCCACCTGGTGCCCCCCTCCCTCCCAGGACGGAACACGCCCCATCCCGCCTTGAGTGAGGGACTCGCTAACCCCCCTCCCCCGCCTTACCTTTCAAGCACATTTCCCATTCATTTCCTGCCAGTAGGCTGACACGCACGCACGTACCGGGAAACACACGCAGCTGCGCCAGACACATCTCCTGCACTGCACAGGCAATTGTGGGTGCCGGAATCAAACCGCTCGAAGGAGACACACAGTTCCAGTCCATTGCCGCTGCTACCGCCGCTGCTGCTGCTGCTGCTGGTGGTGCTGCTTCACAATGAACCACAGGTAAGTGTGTTTTAGCATGTGATTCACCGCTACAATCGACACCCATCTTTAAGTCGTGTGCGCGTGCGTGTGTTCGACTGACGAATCGATTATCCATTACAATACAGCCCACCTGATGCACCTGTATGTTGCCATGACAACGAAAAGGACAGGGTATGATAAGTGATTACGCAGTAGCGTGAGTGTGTGTGTGTGTGTAGGTGGGTGGGTGGGTGGATGTGAACGTAAGCAAGAGAAGGAAGCACAGGTTTTTTCCACATCGCAATGTACTACACGAAGGTTAAGCGCTTTTTGGCCAAACACGCATCCACCCACTGGCCCGTATTTTTCAGCCTGTTCTTGCGATAACCTCTGCTCTTTTTTTCCCACACCCTTCCATCCCCTTTCCTGGCGTATTCGTTGGCTCGGACCTTCACAGGCTTCAGCGACTTCTCGCGGCGCTGATTCTACTGCCGCTACTGGTGTCCTACGTCAGCTGTGTAAGCGACACCTTCCACCTTTTCTTCCAGTCAATTGAAACAAACCAACCAGCATAGGTCCCACCAAGGTCACCAACGTTTGTTCTTGGCGTAAGCTAAGCGTACCCATCGTAAAATCTGGACACATCCTTCGCCAATTTATTGAAATAAACGATTGTAAATGTATTTAGCATGACTATCGGGTTGTGGACTTTGTATTCCACATTGGACCACCTGGCCAATCGGATTGAGGTTTCTTGTACCCGTTCCCCAGTAAATTTTGTCCGTATCTAATTTACCTTCAATTGGGATTTTAGCAAGAAGTAATCAAACCAGGAAATAACACTATTTGTACACCGGAAGACTGTACCTGCGTGGGAATAAAGGGTGATGTGGTAAGTCAGTACGTGTAAGCTTAGATTTTAGCGTCGGAAATTGCTTAGAAAATGCCAGTTTTTGACTCCTACCTTTTGCTTATTTGGGTGAGCCATGTTCACGATTTATCGATCATCTGGGCATTCATAAAATGGCGGAAAGCCTAATTTTTCCTTGAAAAATAATTGGGTTGAACGGCTACACGAGGTTGGGTGATGAGGGTTCTAGCATCGATTAATCAAATGTATTGACTTCGCACTTCGCATAGCACCCCGAACATTCCTTTTTTCATTTTAACAAAACGCTTAAAGTTTCCAATATTTGAAAAATGCTTTAATTCCTTGCATTGAACTAAACACATTAAAAAAAGACTATTTAAATCTTATCTACAACGTTGTGTGGCTTTGTTTAAATTAACGACGTTAAAACAGTCTCCTTAAAACGCGATGTCGAGAGGAAATTTGAATATGCCGCAAACTCCAAACTTGGACTCAAAGTTCACAACACAATTGCCGATGTGAATATCGATTACAACAGCGCCTATGTAATCTTCTATTTGGTGATTTAATTTTCTTTCTTACGAGGACCAAAAGTCTTGTCGTATTCTCACAAGGACCAATAATCTTAGACCCGAGCACAATCGATTTCCGCGTGTTCTCGCGGTAGGCATTACATACCGTTAGCCCATTGGCTGAGCCTTGCACACACCTGGCCTCGGCCCTCTCACCAAAAACCATGCCTGTTTTTGCATCAAACCGAGAAAAAGTGGCATGTGAACAGCTGCCGTGACCTTGTTGGTGTAACCTCAGCTACCTGCAACTTATCATCCTGCTTCCTGTGTGTCTTCTGGTCACACAGCTGACCTAGTTTCTACGCTGTAAAGCACAGATTAGAAATGACCGATATAAGCAACTTTGCTGCCTTTTAAATAACACCAAAATTTCTTATCTGACGCACCCTTCGGTTGCCAAGGTTACTACACGCACTACTGGACGGCCGAATAAGGAAGCGTTCTAGTGCCGACCCTTCGCTTGCCTAACGAGACAACCTCTAAATCGCTCCACCGGTTGTTTATTCTGTGTTGGCACTTTGCTGCGACCAACGCTGTCACGAGATGTCGATAGAATTCTGATATTTCGTAAAGGTCCACTTTGGGTGGTTGCGGTTCCAGTGATTGTTCTAGACCCCGCAGTTTCCTCCTTGTTCCCTTCGCCTAAGTCATCATCCCGTGCTCGAATAAAGCATTTATGGTATTATTTCACCATCCCAATCCCCTTTAAAGGGTCCAATAGGACCACGAGGTCCACCAGGAGAGCCAGGCCCACCTGGTTCGCCGGGTCCGATGGGCTACATCGGGCACAAAGGCGAGCGTGGTCCCCCGGGAGCTGAGGGTCCAGAAGGCATCAAGGGAGAGCCCGTAAGTTCGTCTTCGTCCACTTGTAACCACCGTCTTGAACACTAATGCCTGATTCCGCCTCCTCTCCCAACTAGGGCCCCCAAGGACCATCGGGTCTAGCTGGAACGATCGGTTTGACGGTAAGTCGACTTTTTGAAGCCTCATGGTAACACCCTTCCACAGGGAAATCCCGGAAAGAGAGGACAGAAGGGTGCAAGTGGAGAATGGGGACTTGCAGGGATGAGGGTAAGTTAGCCCAATGGGAGTGACTCATCGATTTAGGGCATTCCTGGGGTCATGGGACCCCCTGGAGCCAACGGCACGGATGGAGCCCCTGGAGAGCCTGGCGAACGTGGACCTAAGGGACTCGCTTGCTCTACAGATGGAGGTCCACCGGGCGCAGATGTAGGCGGTTCCTTTGCCAATCATTTTATGTCATGCACTATCGAAATATGTAGTTCAAACAGCTTGAACTACCAGTCTTTTATTTGGGGAGAATGTGCAATAACATTTAGGGGTTGTAAATCATGTAATTCCTACATGAAGCAGCGGTTAACCGACCAATGAGCGCTGTTTCACTTTGTGACGCATTAGCTTCGTGGGCGTGTGGCCCGACGGTGGGTTGCTAGGTGTTCCAGATACCCGTTGCCTGAGTCATATTCCCACAGCGCCGTTGGTGACGTGGCAGAAGAACGAACACCTCTTTCCACGGCACACTAAGTCACCGAAAGTGCGCAGTTTCAAGTGATTGATCGCCTGATTCCGATTGCAATCTTGAAACCCGTTAAACTAGTACATCCAATCAGAGTCTAGGGGCCTGAACGATGTGGTTTCACTACATGAACACACCAATCGTAATGGGAATTTTAGGGACACCGTTTAACGTATCAGTGACCTTCAGGGTAGGCAAAAACAACCGACTAAATACAGATCGTAGTGGAGTTCAGGTTGCTAAGCAACAAGTTGATGATAGCACGGAATGTGAAAGTCAAGTATTGTTTCTTTTGCGTCTAGGGTGAACAGGGCGATTATGGTGAGCAAGGTGAACAGGTGAGTTTGTAGATGGATGAAGGAGTGTGACTAAAAAGTGTTTACGTGTGCGATCAGTAATTTTTTTATCGATTTTAGGGTGAAAAAGGAGACGAGGGAGTAGAGGGACTTCCCGGAATGCGCGGTCCTGAGGGTGAAAAGGTACCGTTTACCTGTTGGCCCTTTTTGTACTGAATTGAAGTAAAAAATAGCCATTTGCATAAGATGTGACTGCAAGAATTTGAGGGCAATTTAAATGGGCAAATTGGGTCGTAAACACACCGCTTTTGCGTGCGATAGAGATGGTGTCTGTCCTATGGGAGAGACAAACCATTCTCAGACACACTTACGCTGTCAGATGTCAGAATTAAGGAACACAAATTTCGGGAATGTGTAGGTCGCCCTAATTTTCGGTTAATTTTCCTGAGAGTGTGTAAAAATACAGGAACAGGACATTACCTAAATAAATTGACTTCTAAAATGATGTATCCAGTGTATTCACCCACGGTGAGTGGATTGACTGCTTTTAATGGAAAGAAATTGATGAGAAAATGGTGGAAGCGTAAAAGGTACGCTCAAGCGACCTGTGCGCCGTCAACGCTCATGCGACCAGCTTTTCTGTGAGCTGATTGGCTAGGGGAGGGAGGCGCGCTCTTCGCTTAAATAGATAGCCAATTGTTGAGCTCCCAAGAGCAGACGGTTAAGGCGCATTCTCCACCCTGCTTGTTTGAGCAGATTCTGGACGACGTTATATTAAGTGACATCCATAGGGAACCGTCTACAACCACTAAAGTCGAAGTTGCTTGATATTTTTACGTTCGGAGTGTGACCAGATTTTTTTGTTTTCTTGAAGGGCGAAAAGGGCCAAACGGGTGAGGCAGGCCCGCCTGGTCCAGACGGTATCTACACTTACCTCAACCTACTCAAGGGAGAAAAGGGTCTCAGGGGTCTTCCCGGTCTGGACGGGATTCCTTGCAGGGAAGAGAAGGAAGAATTGATCATAGGCATTGGTGAACGAGGGATCCAGGGAGAACCGGTACATTTCTCATGTTTACGTCACTTGCTACATTAACGTGCCTGTTTTTGTTTAAAAATATACCCCTTTGGGGATTTTAGAGGGCTGTCGATGAAATTTAAGTGTTCACTTAAGTGAGGTCTTCAACAGGTTAAATTACACGAGTTAGAACAAGGTGTATTGTGGTGGTATTATCCGATTTACCGTTTTTTAGCAGTTACTGTTCGTGGATGGATGGCCCATGCGCCTTCGACAAAATTTCACTAAGACAGATAGACTTTAGTATCGCCGTAAACCCTTTCATACGAAAGAAAACATGGCTTAGAGATATCTCAATTTCTTAACGATGGTGAGACGGACATCACATTAGCTCAAAGTTCTTTGTCATAAATGAAAATTTTCCGGAAAGATAGCGCATCAGTTTTAAAAGAAACTGATTTGTTAAATCCCCACAAATTTCCATTTTAACGTTAAGCAATTACGATGAGGAGGGGTACGGCGTATGCGCTAGCATTAGGCGGTCACTTATTGGTGGAAAATGAACCAATGAGATAGTTGCACTGAGGTTATCACGTGAGAGGCGGACACTGGGTACAGCGATTTTGGCCTTCAAAACATTTAATCTTGAGTACATGAGTACTTGTTTATATAATGAATATCGATTCCACCCCCCCTATCCATGACTACCCCAAACACATTTTGTTTACAGACGTCGGTATTACCATGGTTTCAATAATTTACTGTTTTCAGGGAGAACAAGGTGAGCCCGGAAGCCCAGGTATCCATGGTGAGCTCGGACTTACCGGCTTCCCTGGAGATCCTGGAAAAACTGGTGAAAAGGGACAGCAAGGAGACGTTGGATTAGAGGTTTGGTGTTGCTCGGTTTAGCCTGGTTTTGCAAATGTGCCGTTTTCAGCATTCGAAAAACACTTTTCTCTTCCGTTTCTAGGGTGAACTTGGAGACATGGGCGAACCAGGTCGTCAAGGCAATGTAGTAAGTGATCGATCGCTTTGACGTTTTCATCTGCATTGATTGGATACTTGTCTGAACCAATCCCTTCCTAGTCTAGTTGAACCCTGCCAACTAATATTCACATATAAGAAATCGATTAACAACACAGCCTAACTTGGTTACGTGAGCAGGATGGTTCGATAGCTGATTCTCTGGTGCCAACAAAAGACCACTCCTCGCTGCTTGAGCCTAGAGCCAACTTCCATCCGCCTTATTGCTAGGCTTACGACCCCAAGATCTAGCGATGGAATATCAGCTTCATTTTTTAAATGCCTAGGGTGACCAAGGACTGGATGGTCCACAAGGAATCCCTGGTCCCAAGGGTGGTCCTGGCGAACGAGGTATTTCCGGTAGAGACGGGGCACGGGGTGAAACCGGCCCTCCAGGTGAACCTGTGGTGAGATTTTGTTTGCTAATTTAAAGCTTCTTCACCAAAACCGCCTCAAAATCTAACCGCATCAACTCCATTTTTACAGGTGTGGGATTGCAAAATTACCTCAACTCCGAAGGGGGAGAAGGGCGAGCCTGGTTTCGAGGGACCGAAAGGGATTCGGGGTTATACCGGTGACCGCGGTCCGGCCGGTCTGAAAGGCCGACCTGGTGATCAAGGCGAGAGGGGACCCCAGGGCGAAATGGGGGAACGGTGCGTTCCTGGCCCGCAGGGGAAGCCTGGTGAACGCGGTGAACCAGGTTTGTTGCTCACCTTCATTCTTTTGTAAATTGGAGTTGAGGAGCACAGGTATTCACTAAGGAGTGGGCTACTAGTGGATCCTATATGTGTGTGTCGATTACATATTTGGGACCGGCTTCGCTATTATCTCGATTCTCACAGCTTGACACCGTTAAGTGCGCAAAATGCCGACCGTGTTCTTTGTTGGATATGGAGCTCAGGGTAGAACACAAGATCTTCTATGAGGACACATTACCTTATTGGTCAGCTTTTGACTAGCTCTTGATTTTAGCGTTGACAAGAGGAGTAAGATCGATTGAACGACGCCAAATATTTCTGCATTTCCTGGGTGGAACAGTTGTGGGTAATTTGGACTCAAACTTCAACATAATGCCTAGCTTCTGTGGCCACGAGCAAATCCAACCTCAACCATCTGATAACTTCCAGGTCTTGGAAGATCTTTTTATGAACATGCTGAGAGGACGATTTTAACCTGAAACAGAGCCACTTATCTGGAAGCCTCTAACGAGAAGGTCATTGAAACCCACATAGGTACGGCATTTTCACCTTAGCCACTTTCAACCAATCGGTCGTTTGGTCGCCTAACCAACCGCGTGCGTTAATTGGTCGGTCACTTTTGACCTACTTATTCATCTACTCAGGATCGCTTTGGTGAGCAACACACACCAAATACGGATAGAGCCAAATTACGAACGTTAGTGGTAACACAAACCCTCCATTAATCCCTCTTCCCCCCAGCATCTTACCGACATTCGCCATTCCCAGTCGTCACTTTGTTCGTGGTGTAAACAGCAGCACATTGTGAGTGCGTTGTGTTTATTGCTCTCTCCCTCTCTATAATTAACAGCCCACCACCCAACTTGGCACTGCGCAAAAAAACATCAATTCAGGTCCACAAGCCAATTCAGAATGCCATTTCAAATGCCCGCAAAATGTCAGGTCGTTTCTGATTGGAAGCCCCATTTGTTTGATTGGCCCATTATAGGAGCGGTCTCCTTTCTAGTCTAATCGTCAACAGGGGGGAAGTTTATTTGTTTGCAATAACTGCGTTATCTGTTGTGATGATTCACTGGAACATTTCCCTGGGCGTTGGAAAAAACGACTTTGGCGAAGACGCCGGAATGGTACCTTGTGGCGCATTTCGCACAATCACGATGGCTCGCGAAATAATGCGATTTCGTATTGTTGTAGGAAAGGACGGAGTGGACGGTTTGCCTGGATCAGAGGGGGATCCTGGAGCCGACGGTCTGCCTGGAATCCCTGGACTTGACGTGGAGGGTCCCAAAGGCGCTCCTGGAGAAACTGGACCCGATGGCAACCAGGGTCCTCCGGGTATGTTGAAGTGGCGTTTCAAATGGATGATGCACTGACAATTTCGACGACTAGTTACTGTCCAATAATAGACGGGTTTCCACGGTTACCTTGTTTCGACTAGTTCTTTGAAGATCTTGGTGTCGAATGCCTGGAAACCGATTCCGAAGGGTACAACATTTCAGTTTTCAGCAGGGGAGACAATGCAACGTGAGGCGTGTGCAACAAATTTTAAACACTGGCTGTGTTCCATCGATTTTAGATAGTTTCACGCGAATGAGTGATCAATATTTGCTTACAGCGATTTGATTGGTTGGAATAAGGTGGTTGTTGCATTGTTTGATTGGTTGGAATAATGTGGTCTTTGCATTGTTTTTCTTTCAGGTGATCCAGGAGAGGAAGGAGATGTTGGTGAAAAGGGACCCTCCGGTTCAATAGGGCCCGACGGTCCGCGTGGTGAAGAAGGCGATCGCGGTGATCAGGGCAAACCGGGAATAGATGGACCAGAGGGTGAAGTGGGTGACAAGGGTACGCCGGTTCTAGTTTGATTGCCTCTTTTACGTCCTAGATGTGGGTCTCACATCCACACCGGGTCAGCTTATCGATTGCCCGATCTGACGAATCAAAATGTCGAAGTCGGCAAGGCTTGGTATTTAATGGACTTGATAAGAGTTCTTTACATGAACTCAAGCAAATTTTTCGACGAAACTACTCTTCAATATAGTCATCGTTGGTAGTTGCGTCAACTAAAAACCCATGTTTATCGATTTATTGATAGGTTTCGAATGCAGCTGCATACTTGCATCTACACTGATGTTCGCAACACTCTTGCGATCGCCCGAATTCTTTGCCAACAGTGACTAGAAATTCCATAAGTGCCTAAATCGTGAAGTTTAACGAAGGACGGCCAAATATCGCCGGACAGAAACCTGATTAAAAGTCATTAATTGCACAAAATAATTGAATTTAACTTCACTGTAAGGAGTCGATCATCGTGGAGAAGTTGGCACAATTTCGTCCTTAATGTTTATCCCAAAAATCCCGCAATTTTTTATTCAACATCATCAGTGACAGCAGACCTTTACTTGGGTCATTAGTTCACCGCTTGACATTTTCACGGCGGTCAAATTCGACGAGCTGCGTTAACAACGCTGCCACACTGTTGATTCCTCGCTACAAAGGTCATACACTAAGCCCTTTCGCTTCTGCAAGTTGACAGGCTTGCCAATGGTAGAATTTCAGCATCGTCGAGCGGTACTATGCACCAGTAGAATGTCTATTTGGTACTTTTCAAATCGTGGTTGCGGTGTTTGGGTTAGTCCAACCAGAACCAATCTAAATCTCTGAGCTTCCCCTAGTCCACATTTGAGGGTTCCTCCTTGTAAACACAGACCGGCCAAGGATATCCAAAATTCACAAACTGATTGGTCAAGCAAATACACATATTTTTAAGGGAGCAGATTAGAACAATCTTAGAAGGGAAGGCGCAGCACATGTTATCTTTCGATGGGACGATCCCACTTGGTTGAATTATCAAAATCGTTATTTTATCGAAATCGCCACCTCACGAGAAAGTCGATATTAGCTGCGTTTTGAAATGTGGGTACACTTTAATTCTGGAAGGCTAGATGCTTGGAAGTGATGGCGAACACTCTAGAGGCAAAGATTACGAAGGTCTCCGACAAGAATTCCCCTTCTTTTACTTTGTACTTATCCACTTCCAGGTGAATCGTTTGACCCCAAGAATTGTCCGCTGTGTGGAGATGGCCCTCCGGGTCTGGAAGGTGAATTTGGAGAACCAGGAGAAGATGGGCTACCCGGTGATGATGGGGAACCTGGAGAGCAGGGGCCCCAGGGGGTCCGCGGGCCCATTGGCCCTGAAGGACTTCAAGGTCCAGATGGCGAACGGGTGAGTGTCTATTGTGCCACCAACACAGCAAACCAAACTGTGATTGGATGGTGACAATCGCGTTAACTGAATTCGGCCAATGAAGGCTAATATTGATTAATGTATGTTACTTGTCTCTGATTGGTTGTGTGCCGCTTAGGGCAAACAAGGTGAAAAAGGGTACCCGGGAGAAGCCGGTGAACCTGGAGACCCCCACTACGTGGACCGTCCACCTGAGCGCTACGAGCCCGGCGATGTCGGTGACGAGGGACCGGAAGGACGTGAAGGCGAAATTGGAGACCGCGGCGCTGAAGGTGAAGAGGGCGATGAAGGTCCACAGGGCGAAACCGGCCCCCAGGTAATTCCACATGAAAGTAGGTCATACCAGGCAGCACAATCAACCACACCTCGATACAGCTACCAGCTTCCCGGCCTAGATAGTCTCTCATTAATCATGCTTGCCTCGGATAGATGAGACGTTGATTTCTTCGGTGGTGATAAGCCCATCTCTTACGCAAACACGGTCATCCTAGGCAAAAAACGCGTGTTAATGAGATTGCACTGACTTTTTTCTTTGGCCGCTCACAAATGCCACTGATGGCCGGGAGTGTTGTCTTATTTATGCGCAGATATATTAATCAGCACCACACCGGAAGCGGGTAACGATGAAAATACTCGTTAAATTGGTTCGAGTTGCATCTATAGCTACAGCGGAAAATGTCAGTTCAGGGCAGACGTCGAATGACAGGCTTAAAGAGTGAACTTCATCAGGATTTTGTCACGACAAGATCCAGAAGTCAAATTCTTACCTGGATGTCGACCTTTGGCGTTTTCTCGAAAGAATTCGTCTGGCATTTTAGGGCGAGAAAGGACAACAGGGCTTAGCAGGAGACGCTGGACCAACTGGAGCCAAGGGAGAGCCTGGCGAGCCTGGTGAAGACCTTGATTACCTAGTTGGTGAACCTGGAGATCGTGGAGATGACGGTCCAAGAGGACCTCAGGGCGTCAAGGGCGCTGACGGTAGTGAGGGCACCTGCGTTCAGTCCTTCGACACCAAACTTGCACAAAATGCCCTCGGTATGTTAACTGCTCTCTGGTTTGTCAATGGTCTTCGAAGTCTAAATGACACCTTATGGGGGCTGGTGGTGGTGGGCTTCGGTTAAACAAGTCAGGTAGACCGAGGACACTTCGGTGTTTGGAAAACCATGCTGTTTAGGTGATTTCCAAGGGGTTTGGAAAAATTCGTGCTTCAAATCAGTTCCAGTCGTCTTGAATCATCATCTGAAGGTCTGGATTTTTTAAGATGCATCCATTTCTAGAAGTTCAGGAATGTATATACCAGTACTAGGTAGAGTTCAGTATTTCGATGGGCGGCGGAAGTCAATGCAACTGAGGCGACTTTGCCCAAATTAAGGAAAGCATTTTGTGAAAGTGCCTGAGTAGATTTGGAAGTCGTTTGCCTCCTTCCCTTGTCTAGACTTGCTCGGTCCAAAGGGTGAGAAGGGTGACCAAGGCGAGGCTGGACCAGAGGGTCCACGCGGACCTCCAGGGGAAAAGGGAGGTTTCGGTCGCAACGGCGAGCTCGGAGAGCGTGGCGACCGGGGTCCACCGGGTCCAGTTGGACCTGTTGGTGACAGGGGCCCGAGAGGTGAGTTAAACGTCCCTATTTCGACACAAGTATTTCCAGCAGAAAATATCATCGCGTGGGCGTTTCAGGTCCCCAGGGAGCTCCTGGCGCCACAGGCAAGGAAGGACGTCGTGGCGAGGAACCCGAGGGACCACCTGGTGAACCCGGAGAGACTGGTCCGCAAGGTCCAAAAGGTAAGCGACCGATGGTGTTGATTCTCAAACATTGGACTCGTCCAAATCTTGAGTATTACGCACAGAGCTTTGTTTAAACCTGCTGGAATAAGGTGTGTGCTCAGGTGATGGTAGTACCTCACACGTCTGGTGGTTTGTACAACGTATTCCACAATCTTCAAGGTTTTCGGGGAAATCTTGACGTTGCCGTCTTTTTCTAGGCGAAGCTGGTGAAAGAGGTGATTTAGGTTCACGAGGTCCTCCTGGAGATCCTGGCAAGCCAGGCGAAGACGGTGAACCCGGTGTGGACGGTGAAGAAGGCGCAAGGGGTGCTGCTGGAGAACAAGGTAATCCACTTTTGCTAAAATTTCCTTCCCCTCTCACACTAACAATTAAATTGCAATGAGTCGAGCTGAAACAGGCTGAAATGCGTATGTAGGACATGTCATTTTACTTGAAATACCATCTTTTTGGAGTCAAGATGATTGTTGTCGAGAGCGCCATAGCCAGAGTTTTCTACAACAAAGGGACTTTTGAGATCTTGATGTTGACTTTTATTCTAGGCGAACCTGGACCTCCTGGTCCAGACGGACTGCCGGGAGAACAGGGTCCTCCTGGAGACAAGGGAGAACGCGGTGAACCCAGCACACCGGGAGCTCCGGGTGAGGTCGGTGAAGAGGGTCCAAGAGGTGAACAGGGTCCACCGGGATACAAAGGGCCCACCGGTGATCAGGGTTTATGCGATATCGCCGGTATGCCGGAGTACGAAGGACCCATGCCAGAATCCGGCGATGAAGGCGAGGTTGGGGACCAAGGGCCTCAAGGTGAGCAGGGACCAGAAGGCGAACCTGGCGTGGACAGCACTGAGGAAGGTGATCAGGGACCCCAAGGACCTCAAGGTACGACCCGTGTCTATGTCATCCGACTTTATGGCCTCATACCACTAGAGGAAGTGGTGATTGGTGATCAATACATCCAAGTAAACATCCTGTATGTTTGGAATCCCTTCACCACTAAAAGGCTTCTTTGTGCAAAATAGCTTTTCGATTCAAGGAGACTGGTCTAGGTTGAAGGTATGTCAGAAAAAGCCTGGAAGCTCCCTACGATTGGTATCTGTTTCAGGTGAGAAAGGAGAGCCTGGAGAAGTTGGCGAGCAAGGCCCGGAAGGTCCCGAGGGTCCGGAAGGCGATCAGGGCCCGCAAGGTGAAAGAGGACCTCGAGGTCCTCAAGGAGATGAGGGGGAAGAAGGCGAGCCTGGAACCGAGAAAGGTACGTCTCACCTCTCTTGAATCGATACCTTGCCTGAACATACCTTCCTGTAGGGCCACATGCTACTTGAGACTCTGCCAAACGATACATTCTGCCGTCAGATATCGCAGTCATCAATAGATCAGCGAAAGGCGCTGATTTTTCAAACCATTTCCAAGATGACAGAGGGTGTTCTCAGAACTTAATGGTTGAAGGGGATTTTGTTGCATTTTTGATAATCGTCATCTACCAAGCAATTTTAAGGTCTGGAAGATTTCACTGTAATAGGACTTCTTTCAGATGATTTTGACGCCACGCAGGAAAAAAGTGACCATAAGCCTGCATAATTCTTTGTCTGGCCTTGTCGGAATTAAAATCAACGAAATTTGTATTCAGGCGATCCTGGAGAACCGGGTCCGTACGGACCGAAGGGTCCGCGAGGTCCGCCAGGCAGTGCCGTTGGAAGCGTCAAAGGCGCGCCCGGTGAAGAGGGTCCAGTGGGTCCCAAGGGCGAGTACGGAGACCAGGGACCCGCAGGAGAGCCTGGAAGGGACGGAGAACCGGGTCAGGATGGAGTTGGTGAAGAGGGCCCACCTGGTGAACAGGGAGAGCGTGGTGAGGAAGGCGACCCTGGTCCAGATGGAGAAGATCCCGTCGACGGTGAAGACGGCGATGTTGGGGAGGATGGACTACCTGGAGAACAGGTGAGATGGCGTTGGTGGATGGAGGATGACCTTTCGCCAAGTGATTGCACATTGGAGGACAGACGAATAAAGCGGATTGGGTTGAGCTAAGTTAGCTCATGTTTTTCAATTATTGGTTTTATTTGTAGGGAGATCAGGGCCAGCCTGGGGAGCTGGGCGAGGATGGTCCGCGGGGTGAGGAGGGCCCAAAGGGACCAATTGGAGAAGTCGGTGAAGACGGGCCAACGGGAGAGCCGGGTGACGAAGGCGACGAAGGAGAGCCTGGAAGTGTCCCCCGACTCTTCAGGGGTGAAACTGGACTCCTGGGTGCCATGGGCGAAAAGGGTATCCCGGGGCCCGACGGAGAACCGGGCGACCAGGGCGAACAAGGTGGGTGTTTCTCAAGTCACCCAAAACCCTCTCCTGATTGGTTACTTCGGAAATGTGCAAAACGCTATTAGATTTAAATTGAAATTACCTCGTTGGCTGATTGGGAGTATCTAATCCACAATTAAACTTGAATGTACATTCAGTTGAACTAGGTATTGCCTATTACCTTTGCTGCTAAATTCTAAAAGGAAGTTAAAAAATACCTGAATAATTACTTTAATACATAATTAGTAAATCCTGCTTTTTCTGCGTCTTATTTGTTTTTCTGGGCCACTAACTTTGATCTACGCTTCCGTGTGATGACATATGCGCAGTCACTGCGTGGTTTTGGGACATACGTGTCACAAACTTGTCATCTCCTTCAAAACAACGTGGCCTTTCGAAGTCTCGTTGTACAGGAAGCACGTTTGTTGAAGGTCACGCGTTAACAAGCTACCCAACCAGGCGCCGAAAACAAATCAACCGAGCTTCAGACGAATGCGTAGGAAGGTGTAAACAGTGATATCTTCCTGCCTGTCGGAATGCCCACAATCTTCCATGGATGATTCACCAAATAAGGCGAATTTTAACACTCCCCTCTTCGTCAACAGATGGAATTGAAGTGTTGGTGACGTGGGTAGTTATATCGGCTCGGAGAAGAAAGAGATGTTTGAAGAAGAGGGTTGCATCTTGCCTCCCTAAGATGGCAGATATCTTGATTTGCAGAACGCCTTCGATTCCTTGCCTCTAGGCATCAGCGATTGTTAAGGACCCAATTAGGGGTCATTTGCCAATAGGAACATTGCATTTAAGTAATGACGCACACAGTATTGTTCTCTATTTCGGATTATGCGCAAGTAATGAGCAGATTAAAAGTGGAATATTTTGGATACCACAATATAACCAGACCACGCCTACTTAATTGGTCAAATTACACTTAAGTAGTATAATGTTCACATTTTGTTTGGCCGCAATTATACTCTTGTATTCTCTATCCTGCAATTTTTGCATTTACTCTGCTGTGGCGAATTCGGCACAGGTTTTAACGTTACAAGTTCGCGGTGACGTGCATGTTTCCGATTTATTGATTTTAGGGAGACAGGGCGGTCAAGGGGATACGGGGGAAGTTGGGCCTCGTGGAGAACCCGGTGAGCCCGGTGAGGATGGTGACGTAGGAGATGAAGGAGAAGTCGGAAATAGAGGTGAGTCTAGCTGGAGTGTCAGTAGGTTCATGGTTTGAGCAAGACTCGATCCTTAAAAAAGCCCAAAACACAGACAGTGGCTTTTAAAAGATGTTTGGTCGTCTGGGGAGAAACCGTTGTTTACATGCACCCATAATCTAGCAAAACTTCTACACAGGTAATCGAATTCGGTGACTAATTGTGTGTCAAATTGCACTTTGTTTAAACCAGTTGCACTATCAACGTAAACGGCAAACTGAAATTGAAAAATGACTTGATGTTCCCGGCTAATTGGGTGATATGTCGAAATGCCTCGTGCACTTGTGCTTGACCCCGGGATTTCGCAGGGGCTATACGGAGCCAGCTTGAAATGCACTGATGGCACACTTGCAGCTGTTTGGTCAGCGGTTTCTATGCGAGAGGTCAAGCCAGACGTTCGCGTGTCGCGGATAATCCTGTCAAGACCACGACGACCATTTCACCGCACACACACGCACACTACCGACTTAATCAGCTGCCAAAATTGCTGCCAGCGTTATTAGTTTTTCCACGAACTCGGGAACCAATCAGGATGCTCGCTCCACAAAATCGATATCGAATCAACTGTATCAAACTACAGCCTCGTGAATCGAAATTTGTCGGTTCGCTTTTAACTGTTTGTTGTCGTTGAAAGCATCATCCAAGTCTTAATTTAAGAAGGCATGATTTTGTGCTCTTGAGTGGGGTGATTGAACACCGATTTTGGGCATCGATTCAAATTCTGTTCCGAAAATCAGTGATGTCACCAGATCGAATGCATCAGATTTGCTTCAAGGTTTTGTGTCACACAATACGGTTCGCAAAAGTAAATTAAGATTTCGCAGAAACGATGTTATTGCTGCAACCAGTTTTCCACCATAATTAAAGAAGTCAATGTGATGTTTTTGCCGCAATGGTTAGTACGATGTTTACCTTTGATGCGGTGTGGGTTGAATTGTAATTAAGAGAATGTAACAACTGACACCCTGCCCAAAGGGTTAAGCGACCAAGCATAGTAACAATCCAGCCAATGATTTGATTGGAGGATTTTTAGATGATCGATTGATCTCGTTGTGCTTGTCAATCAAAACCTGTTCTTCCATGTCAAGTGAAATGACGGAACAAAAATATTGCCTTTGCGTGTTTTTTTTTCAGGTGAACCAGGTCAAGTAGGCCCCGAAGGCGACGTGGGGGCACGCGGAGTGGTCGGTATCATGGGACCGAAGGGTAGACAGGGCCCACGAGGTCCGAAGGGCCGTTCTGTCATAAGCTGCCCCGCCTCCCTAGACGGCGAGAGAGGCACCACCGGGCCCCCTGGACCCCAGGGACCTAGGGGTCAGCCTGGCGAACCGGGTTAGTTCCGCTTTCCACACCCACTTAAATTTCCCGCTTGTGTTTGGATTGGTCAACGGGAGGTGTTTAAGGCGAGTTTGAAAAGGTCTTTTTTTGCAGTGTGGTAGGTAAGGCGTTGTCATAAACTGTCACTCAGACACAAGATAAAATGCCTGAATTGTGATTGTGCCTTTAGGTTGGAGTCGTGGTTCGCACGAAATTGAATTCCTAAATTCTAAGGCAAAAAGTAACGCACTTATTGGTCCTGATTTAATGTTATGTGAATGTGCCAAAATTAACGGTTGAAACTCCAAAAAAGGTAGATTTTCCAGAACACTCGAATTGCTTCGCGTTCTTTGATTAACGTTTCTGCAGAAAATGCCACTCAAATCTTGATTTGTTGTCATCAATGTGCCAACTTTATACACGCAAATTTCATGGGTTAAGTTAAACTGTTAAAATGCTACTTTTGCTTAAAAAAGCAAAATTTTGTGCTATTTGTGTACAGACTAAATTTTGATTGGTTTACCTCGTATCTGCCAATCAGAAAAGGAGGATGCTTCAATTTGGATGCAGGTAGTGCCAACCTAGGCTGACGAACCTCCTTACGTTAGGTAAAAAAATTCGCCAATCAAAACTATTTTTCTCATATGTAGAAGTGAAGGGTGATTTAAACAAACAAAAAATGGATGTTTTCCCGGCCTTGAAAGCGATTCGCTTCCTTTGTAGAAAATATTAACCAAAAATCGTGGAAGCTTGTATTTGCCTTATTCTCAAGTTTACTTCACGTTATGCTACGTGTCTTTTTTTCAGGTCTTGATGGACCAGACGGGCCCAAGGGTGTACAGGGCAAACCCGGACTTGGTTCCCCCGGCGAAAGCGGTGAAGCTGGAATGGTCGGCATACCAGGCAGACCTGGTAAGTGCTCCGTCATTTGTCCAGTTAAAATGCAAAATCTGGAACATGGTTGCGTAAGAGGAGGGGGATCTGGCAACGGGGCCAGGTGCACCCCACTTCCGCGGAAACGCACTTGTCCGTAAACGGGATCGAGAACACCACATTCGCCGCACACGAGTTACGTGCGTGCGTGTGTGCATGCACGTGGGTGGCTGCGCGATTCGAGATCTGGCCCAACGCCCACGCGCGCGTGTATGTATGTGCGTGCGGCTTGTGGCCCATCGATTTTAAGATGACTACACGGATTGGTGCGTATGGGTGCATCCGCGCGTTTGGCCATTGGTTGGAGCGGTGTGCTGCACCCCCGTGCGTGTGGTGCTCGTGTGCAAGTTCGTGTGCGTGTGTGTGAGTGATGGTGCTCGCGTGCGAGCCGCACGCTTGGGATCAGAGCGCAGTTGGTGAACGCCAAGCTATCGCACGCAGCCGCACATGGCGGGGGAAATTGGTCACCACAGCAACACTGCCGGCATCAGCACAACCGTTTCTGGGTTCATTGGACGTAGTCGTTGACGTGTAAGCCCAAAATGTCTCTATTAAAATATATTTTCAATCAATAAATACCTACATTTCCATGCACTTTTTAATCCTTCATTGAAACGGTCTGTGAAGTATTTCTAGTACTCCATTATATTAATGACAAAGTAAATTGTTTACATTTTTCCAGTTAATTCACCGAAAATTATGGCAACTTCCAACTCATTCATTTGTGCGTGTCGCTATTGGTTGAAAAGATTGTGCCGTTTGACTGGGATCGTATGGAGGTGAGAGTTGGAGTGGTTTGGTAGTTCAACCAGGTGACTTCCACTGCGGATAGTGTGGTTTGGAGTTTGGGTTGGCGATTCACCGGCAGAAATACCGGTAGAGGTCTGAGCGAGTTTCACTTCCAGCGTCCAGACTTGATGAATTAAACACGTGACTCATGGGTGTCATGTCGACCTTGATGGCATCACGTGGTGGATGAGAACCGCCATGAGTGGATCCAAAGAACTGCCTTCAATGGAAGGGATGGTCCGTCGGAGCAGTCTTCGCTTCTAGGAGAACGATTCTTCTGTCACCTTCAAAATGCACCACATACGGCGCTTCCTGTGGCATCCGCAATGGAAGGTCCTGTTCAGCCAATCAGATGTCTCTGATGCGGTTGGCTTCGGTCGTCTTTGGAACCCGTTGTTGTGATGGCGAGTTCGGACATGCAGCAGAGCATTTCGGTTTTTCCGAAGTCAAAACACACACCACTGGTTCATGCAGTCGCGATTGCCGTTTGTCTGGCCGTTTTGTCCACAGCGATGTCTCGTATTTTTTTCGAAGACACCTGTTTTTTGCTGGTGATTCATCAGTCAAAATTTGAGGTTGAGGAATCGGCAACTCTGTTCCGAGTCGACACGCTCCACTCAGAATTGCCTGGTTGTGGAATGCCTTCGTTCCGCGGTTGCACAATGTGTCTGAGTCGACGCTGGACCAAGTGTTTTGAAAACAGTCACGTCAGTGACATTAACTAGCCGCAAGTTACCTTGTCATGAAATAATTAAGGGACAAGATAACTTCTCCCTTAAACACTGGCATTTGCGGAATCTCTGCGACGATCGTAAACATATTATCCATGAAACGGGTTAAATGGGTTTTAACCAGCTGTCCATTCGAGATTGTAGTGCAGTCAAATTTCTCAGCATTCAGAAACATGGTAGACATGTCTTCAGAGTGTCTACCAATGTGGGTGTGTGTGTGTTGATGAAGCGTGAGCTTGTTGGAAACACGAGGTGCATGGTTGTGCATTTTTTTTGTAATGGTAAATCAAGTTCCCCCACTGTTTCGTCATCAGATTGATCAATGTGGAAGCACCAATTTGGATTGACTTGATTAGCTAATCGCCATTTTCGATTTCTTTTAATTACGCCATTCAGGTTCGACAAGGTCAAAATCGACTTTGAGTGGAAGTCAATGGAACCCTAAAACGAGGTGCATGTGAGGGTAGCTGGTTAATTTATCCTGGGTTAATTACAAAGATGAAATGCTCTGGTAAATCATTTCTGCTACATCTTCTGAGTACTTTTCGCCTCGTGCAGGGCTAAACGAAGGCTGCGCGGTAACCAATAGCGCGCCACCAGACTTTATCTAAACCTCGTGAATTTAATGTATTCAACCTGTGTGTCAATATTAGCCTCACTCTGCAGCGATCGTTTTCCTAACTGCGAATTTACACTTCAAACCCAAATGTCGTGTGGCAGAACCGAACAGGCTTTCGGGAAATTATAAACCATTTCGCCTTGAAAAACCCATTATTTTTCCCACAACCCAAAACCGACATGTGCGAACATCTGTTTTTCGTGTGGGTCGCCCACAAACTGCGGTAAATCTGGTTGGTTTACTTGCTTGCCTAAATGTAAAATGGAAAAAGAAATTTAAACTTTTCTTTCCCTAACTTGGCAAATAGTCCATGCAACTACGACCCCTGTAACTACCTTGAAACGGCCTTCCCAATTCATACTTGCGTGCCTGTTTGATAATTTTCAAATAAACACAAGTAGTGTGGTGTGGAAAACTTCATTTCACAGTGGATAAGAATTTAGTGACCCAGAACCAACCCTAAATCAAAGCCCGTTCTGAGATACGGGGAGAATCAGCTAAACTAATCGTCGTGATAAATCCAGGCGCAGCTCGCTTGTGTTGTCGATCGATAACCACGTCAAAGAATCCACGGCTGTGTTTTCGCGTCGATGAGCGAAGCTAGACATGGGATTATTGATTTTTGCGCAACGGCACACGTGCAGTGAATTTTTGTCAAACGAGCCTGAGCAAAGCGGATCCACGGCTTGATCGAATGTCATCGATTATCGATTTCGGTTGAGGTTCGAAATTCGGGTGGTCAAATATAAATAAAGCCTTATATTCGCCATCATTTTCATGCCTTTCTTCTCGAGCCATTATGGACTGTCAACAAACAGGGTTGTAAGGTAGTGTTAACGCGGCTGCTACACACGTGGTTTGAATAAATGACTATCTCTGCTGGCTTTTTTCTCGAGTTTTTATGGTTTATTAACTAGTAGATCGGTGAAATTTTATTTTTGCCAGACAAGCAATAAACAGCCATGTCGACGCATCAGATTTATCAATAAATTCAGGACCAATATGAAGGCCTCTCGAGGTCAGGTCAACAGATGATGTCAAATTATCAAGTTAGGGAAAAATTGGCCTAGTACTCAAGCAATGTCATGAGTTCTGAAAAAAATTAAAACCGTTGCAAGATTTAGGTATCGCTTAAGAAGGATAAAAATGAAGGCGGCGTCACAAGAACTTAATTTTCTTGAAAACTTCGGCACTGAACGCTGCCTGATGCGATTTGCATCCAATCACGATTAGAAAAATAACGTGTTTTTAAGTTGCATGTTACATGCTAAACTGCGCAAAACATCAAAGGTTTGGCGTTTGAAAGGAAGCCATCAGACGCACGGCTGGTAGTTTGGAAATTCAGCATCATAACTGACCAATTTTAAGCTTAGTTGATTCACTTAAACTCCAACTCCAAGGTCGTCACCTGACCTTGTCCACTCAATTGTGTCGCTAAAAGGTGTACTGCTCTCCAGACTAACTGGATTTTCTCCGGCATTTGAAGAAGCGCTAGTGTTCAGGTCCGCATGCAATTTAGTGTGTGAATGTAGGGGGGAGGAGAGGGACAGCCGTTGCTTTGTCAAAGCACTTGTCTTGTACCGCTAGAACCCCCATCGAGTGTTTACACGTGCTAGACATGGCCATTCCCTGCTTCCCATCCACTCAAAGCACTGATTCATCCTTCGAACACACCTGGGTCCCGTCACCCATCCACCTCAATCCCTCATTCCATCGTTATTTGGGTCCTTAACTGCGAATGGACAGTCACTCGAGTTAAAACATGCACGCCCCAGCCTGGATTTCCTCAGGTCGCTACGTAGGGAAAAACCTTGGAAGAGGCGTGTGGTATTAGGGCAACGCAGCAGTTTTTTCCAGAACCGTAGCGATTTCCCAAACTCCCGCTCTGGTTCATCACACACCCCAATACCGACTGGACGTGTGTTCTTCATTTAGACTTTTCTAAATTCTCCCTGCTGAGTGCCAGTAACTTGGGGTGTGTCGTTAAATTTATGACACCAACGCTCAGAATACCGTACACCCACTGCCATAATGGTTATTGCCAGCCAGAAGTCAAGAGTACATTGGCCAAAATGCCATTTCCCGGGAGCAGTGATTTATGCTAATGGGAGGAGGGGCTTCAGTAGCCAGGTTTCAAGTTGTACCGATGTGTTGTTAAATGACCGACCCCTGTATGCTCTTTTGTGTTTTTAAACCGAGATTTGTGCCGGCGTGAGACGAAGATTTCAGACAAAATCCTAGTTTATCGATGATAGACGCCAAGAACTACCGACCTCGCACATCAGATCGATGTCGAATTGGTTTTATGGTTTGGTGTGGTTCATGGTTTGAAGTAATGCTCGGATGTCCGGACTGGTTTAAATTGGCCAATTGGCCTTTCAAGCCCGGTGTCTCGGCGCCAATTCTAAAGCCTGAATGCCCATTGGAGGTTGATTTCGCGGTAAATACGAGCATGTTTGCACGCATTGCCAATCGATGATTGAACTGCTCAAGGCCGTTAACCTCATTGGTCACAACTTAATTTCTCAGGAAACCAATCATTGACTTTTATTTAATGACTCTGAGTCTCTACGGGTTGACCTTTAGCGAGCTAGATTAGACCTGATTCAAGACAAGGGCATCCAAAATCCACAAGTCATTTTTCATTGGTGTTTATACAGACCTAACGCTCTGCTAATTTACGAGCTAAAAAGGCGGCATTTGCATCAAACTAAGGCGGTGTTGCCAATTGTTCAAAGGTGTGCCATAAAGGGCGGATTTTCTTGCAGTTTTCTAATCCACAGCAACAAAGGAACCACATGTGCGTGGGGCGGGATGTGCCAGCAACATGGTCGTCACCCCCTCAAATGCGCTGAGTAATAACTTGACCATAAAAACCGGCAAATTGTATCGATTTTTTCAATCGTTTCACGCATGCACTTCAATTAGTGCGTTTAAACGGCGATTCTGTGGAACGAGTTTTTTTCTCAATTGGACAAGATGACAGCCTGACTTTACGGGATCAGTCGTGGCCCTTGAACGTGTCCACAACCTACCCACAAACGTGATTGTTTTGACGTAACCTTAGTGGTTGAAGTAAAGTGCATCCGTAGTGGCGATCTAACCTCTCGCTGAAATAGCCAACATCGGATAACCTTAACGGCAAAAGTACCCCCAGATATGGCAAATCTGTAACTTAATCTTTTATCATACTTGTTACTTCATCAAGTCAGTTACACAGAATGCACTTTAGTCTTTTACGCTGGTTAGCATTTCTTTTTCAATATTTGTGGCAAGTGCTAAATTGGGCTTCCCTAGTTTTCGCCCACAAAAAATTTGAAATACTTGTTTTACAAATTCCTAACTTGTGGTGCAACTGCATTGTTTGAAATTCCATGTAACAGATCACAGCGAAATTAATTTCTACTACCTTTCAAGTACAGCCATTGAAACCAAAATGCCACACTTGGATGTACCAGAAAGAATTTTTAAAAAATCGTTTTTGTTTAAATGTACCTGAGGGAAGACGCTGTTAACAGTGTCACTATGCACCAATTGCCCTGTTTCGCTAGTCTTGCAAAATGTGTGGTTCAGTGTTTTTGTAAAAAAAATTGGTATGCGAGGTGTACAAGATTTGTGAACACGTCACGAAAACTACTAACATGGTGTTCTATTAGAACGAACCAGGATTCTCTCGGCAATTGAGTTACTAACAGCTCATTGGTTGAGTTAAATTAGACAAGAGTACCAATGAGTTTTGAGAAAGCCAGAGTCCAAATCCGGTTGGAAGAATGTCATTCTGCGCCTAGAGTTGCGCTCTTAATTTGCTTTTAATTGGCTCAAATTAAGAGGTCAAGCGCTCCTCATTTAATGCGACCTCAGCTCAATAAGTGTGACCCAAACACAGGACCTGACGATTATGCATGTACTTGCATTTGATAAACTGATAAATTTACAAAAACATTTGACTACTCAGGAAAATACTTGCGCACCACACAAAATCCGGCCTATTTAATTACACGGAAAACGTAAGTCAATTGCAGGTAACACTAACATGTTAAGAATGCAGTTTTTCACAATGTGTATTAATTTTGCCAAATAAATTGATTACCTTTCAAGCCCATAACGAAACTTGGGGAAGTCTGACTGAAGTTTAGTGAAAAGTCATTATACCATACCTGTGTGTTTAATTTTAAGCATCAGATTAAGTAGTATATTTTATGGTTGGACGGATCAGCCATACTTTCTCATTTTGCGCCTTACGAATGATGAAATTAGGCATGCAGGTAGGTAGATTTGTCTCAGTTGTGTGGAGCTGATTTATCACAATCTGGCGTTGTCGACATACGCGTGAATGAGATTTGTTTCATGCATTAATGGGCCCTAACCAATCAACTTGAGATTTGGTTGGTCCGTCATCTTCCAATTATGACCAAGGCTCACGGATTACTTCTAGAAGCGACCTCATGTTGTCCACTTTAATCCATATTCGCGGCGCATGGGAACGGCCTCCCATCCACCACCCCTCCTGTGTCATCTCTCATGCGTGCGCACACATGCGCGCACGCACGCCGACGGTTGTACAGACACGCGAATGCGCGCGCGTGCGGCTGACAGGCGCACGATGGTGGCACGCAGCACCAAGCCAACCGCGAACGCTCATTTGTCAGGAGGTGATCTAGCGCGTGTGCCGCGCGCGTGCGTGCACGCAAGTCTGCCCAAACGCAGTGCTGACATCGATTAAGTGCGCGTGCATTTGGTGTGTGTGTGCGTGCGTGCGTGCGAGTGTGCGTGCAATGCGTGCAACAAGACTGCCGCTGCTGCTGCTGCGCATCCGAAACGGTGGGATTTACGCATCTGGCTTTCATGCCGTTAGGAGAAACATCCTGTTAGGCGTATAAAGTAATTAGGGCACAGTTAACCTCTACACCAGCGGGACGCACCGACACTGCACAGTGAGCAAGAGAGCGAGAGACCTGCTATGCTTGAGCATGCCTGACGGTAGACCGGTACACGAGACACATCGCCGGCTCTGGCTGAGCCGGGCTTGCTTACGCCTCCTTGTACTCTCCACATGTCTTTCACTCCTCATTCCGCCTTCAGAAGCAGCCGTTGTAAGTAATGCCGCTTTATCGATTAACTTAATTAAAACTGTATTTCTATTGGTTTAATTGGCTAATAAAATACCGCCTGTTATTTTAGGCGTGTCCATTCACCGTATGTGAAGAATGCGCTTGTGAGGGTATCCCCGGGCCTCAGGTGAGTCGTGAGCTTTTTTCTACGCTCCCCCCTTCAATATTGATTAAATCCACTTGTTTTAATTCGTCCACTTTAATTGTCGCCTTAAACAAAATTCTCCAGTTTAGGTCGTGCAAAATCTTTTGCCTTTCTTTTTGACAAACGGGGCTTGAAATCTCGATTTTGAAATTACGGGCAAATGTTCAAGAAAAATGCTTATTTTTTCCTGAATTAAATTTGTAACTGGGGCTAAAAACACGAGATCACAGAAAGGATAATCTGTCTGCAAAAGAAAAACGTGACGAATGATTGTATTGAGTAAAATCTTGTTCAGGGCCCAGAATTTCCCACAAAGTGCTCAAGAGAAACGCTTTTCGTTTTAACGATTGCATTGTTTAAGCTCTATTTGTTACTGGAGATGAATGTGGGCAATTTTCGAGTGTCAACCAAACGAAAACCACGTTAAACACCGTTGATATCAGTCATGTCTTCTCCACTGAACGATAAATTAGGTAATTCTACTGAATTAGAATCGATTGGTAAATCAGAAAAACGTAACACTGAACTAATTGGACAGACCACCGACAACGATGTGATCTTGTAAACTACAGATTATTGTATAACGAACACAACGAAAAAATAGTTATGTTTAAAATCGCTAATTTTTTGGATTAATTTGTGGATATTCTTGCAGTCCTTTTGATTGGATAATGCTTAGGAATATTGTTCAGCCTTTTTTAAATTAGCTGGAAATTGTTTAACTATTTACCAAAACAACGGATGCCATAATTTAATGACAGTAAATTTTTGCCGTAAATAGCACGACAATAGGCAAACCCATGATTTTATTATTAAATATATCACTACTGATTAAAAATGAGTACCGATAACAGTACCAATATACTCAAATTTCGTCACGCTTTATCAGAGTATCTTGCTGAAGCTGACACGAAAGCGTTCTTGAAACGGTCGACGGCAAGTACAACTGACATCTAAGGTTTCCAAATCGAGAGTAATCTCGACACCGCTGATGTGTGCAAGCTCTCTGAACACTAGGAAAATTCTTAGTTCTCTATTAACATTTCAAAATAAAGGTGCATCAATACCAAGATACCCTGAGTCATCGCTTTAGAGACCCTACAGTTTATATTTGCGGCAAAATTTAGAAGTGTCACCGTGGGGACTGGAACTCTCAAATTTTTGACTGTTAATATAACTACTGTTTTGGTGTTAGTAGCCCTGTTATTACAATTCACCCAATTCTGTTGAAAATGAGAACTAAATTTTTATGTCAATTATTCCTTCCACTGAGCTCAGAAACTATAGTTCATCACTTTCACAAACTTATTTTCCGGGAGCTTGATGTATTTCCTATTTGTAGGGAGACCCTGGTCCCACGGGGCACATGGGTCTACCCGGATCGATCGGTCCAAGAGGCTCCAGAGGTCCCCCCGGCCTCAGAGGACAACAGGGACTCCCCGGTTATCCTGGTGAGCCCGGCCGAAAGGGCATCATGGTACGTCGTGGCGCAGTATCGCTATTATTGATATAATACTCACACAATCTGACGAATTTCCCCCTTTTTTGCGTGTAGGGGGACAAAGGCCAGCCTGGAATGCCGGGAACTGACGGTCTCAAGGGCATGCCTGGCATCAAGGGTCCAAAGGGCTTCCCTGGTGACCCCGGGTGCTGTGGACCGAAGGTAAACTCTTTTGCACTCTTTCACCCACAGTGAAGTCAGTTAATGCAGATTAGCCCGCATCGTTCATAGCCCACTAGTACAAAATGTAGGCATAATTAGACTCCATGCTGTGCATCAACTAGCCTAAACATTCAAGACCGTTTGGAGATTGGCTCTCTTTCAGCGTAAGCTCATTACTTCTTAAATTTTAGGGACCTAGAGGCTACCCTGGTCCAGTTGGACCCGATGGATATGACGGTCTCCAGGGCATTCGTGGACCGAAGGGTGAAAAGGTGCGATGACTTTTCTTGGGGTTCGTGTTCGTTGTTTAATCGTGTTTAATTGTGTCTTTATCTCTTCTGCAGGGTGAAAGAGGCGACACCATCATAGGCAACGGCACAGTAGTTGAAGGACCCCCTGGGATGAAGGGTCCACGTGGACCCCAGGGCCCCCCCGGACCTCGTGGGCCCGATGGCGAACGCGGCCGACCCGGTGTCACGGGTCCCAAGGGTTTCCCCGTAAGTTTCACTCTCTGCGCACTCACCCCACCCCCCCGCGGCCACCCCAAAACATGTCTGACGATGCGTGCGTGTATCGATTTTAGGGACCCGCTGGAGACCCAGGCGACCAGGGACCCAAGGGCCCGAAAGGCAAGACCCCCAGCCCCTCCATTCAATACGTGAGTCCATCGGAGTTGTGTCTTTGCGTCTACCTAACGCTCTACTTTAAAATAAACCCCACTCTCGTCGTGTGTTTAGGCACAGCGTGGAGACAAAGGCGAGAAGGGCTACAAGGGCGCCTCCTACGAGAAACCGCCTGTTCTCAAGGGTATCCAGTACGTCAACGCACTGACTTGACATCTACACACGTGTTTTTCGAATTTAAAGTCGCAATTAAATTGGACGTATCTTCGTAGTCTCATGTGGTTTTAAAAGGATCGGACACCAATTTAAAAATAACCGAAGGACTATAGCAACTGATCGATTCCAATGTGGAACCTATGATTCTCAGGCTCGGTGGGAATCAATTCCGAAGTGTTCCTGGTGCCGACGTTGCGTCCTCCGAAAATTGTCCTGAAGTGGTGATTTCGATCTTAGTGATCAGCCTCAAAGGCTTGAAGATGCTCAACTGCATTCTCTACTGGATGAAGTCACCCAAACAGCTGTTCCCACGAGTTTGCATCTGGAAGTTGGATAAAACGCCACGTATGTTGAGCGAACGCAATCACCTAGGCCAACGCATGAACGCATGCACCTCAATGCTTTTTACCGATGGACATTCAGTGAAAGGACTTGTTGTGGAAGGTTGTGACGGAGGATGAAAAGTATATCTTTTTACGAGAATCCCAAACACAGAATAGCGAGGGTTAAACCCAGGTAATACCAGTACATGGACATTAAACCACGACACACGCTTGAAGAGAGTTCTCCTGTGTACAATTCGTCTGAGCTAAAGCCGGTTTTGGTGTCGTGAAGTGACTGATTTTTTGAAACCTCGGAAATGCCATTTGCGTCACTTTCCCATGTTTTTTTGCAGAGTTGGTCCGAAGGGCTATAAGGGGGTCCCTGGGGAACGAGGAGCACCGGGCGACAAGGGACTCAAAGGCGAACGCGTGAGTTTCTGTGGCGTAAAATGGGGTCAAGTTTTGTCAGGATGTGTGGTCACCTCCTCTGTGCTCCTTTCTACAGGGTCTTCCCGGCTTTCCTGGCATTCCTGGTCCACCGGGACCCGTCGGTGACCCTGGACCACCGGTGAGTTTCGATTTCGTGATTTAGTTGGTCAAACAAGCACAGCGATATCGATTACTTCTTAAAGATCACAGCAAATTTGACCTGGCGCTCAGATGGCTAACCAATTCAGTAAAACAAACAAACCAGAGTAATTGACCAGTCGACACTCTGGAGCTGTCATCTTTCTCACCTGTCACAGATGACAACTGCTTCAAGAACTACATGCGTCCAAATTTAGTTTGCACGTGATCTTTTGCTAGAATCGCTAAAGCCAGTCTGCGAAATTTTCGTAGCTCGGCTTGTGATTGGCTCGGCCCTCGTGCATTCAATGGAACTGTTTCTAAGGTGGGCGTGAAGTCAAAATCTAGTGCATATCACCTTGAATAGTTGACAGGATAACTTAACTTCGAGTACGTGCTTTCCTAACGCTCATTTTCGTTGATATCGCCTGTGCAGGGCAAAAAAGGCAAGACCGGTCCAACAGGTGTCTCCGGAGAGACAGGTCGACCCGGTGCCGATGGTATGGAAGGTCCTCCGGGTCCTGAAGGTCCTCGTGGAGTGAAAGGCGAAAAAGGCTACCCAGGTAGAACCGGTCCGAAGGGAGAACGTGTAAGTAGCCAGCCCAGACTCGTTTTCCTCCCTGTATTCTTGTAAAACCAGCCATTATTATTGATGTGGTAGGGTCCTAAAGGTGACACAATTACCAAAGAGGGTACCCTTCCCGGTGCAGATGGCGAACGAGGCGAAGTGGGACCGCCTGGCCCACCTGGTGATGAAGGTGCGTTATAAGATGCATTTCGGTTGCTTAAAAGATTTCATTTCGACTAACGTCATCTTCTCGTTTCAGGACCAATGGGAGAGAAGGGTCTTGAGGGTGAACGAGGCGATCCTGGTGAACCGGGTCCGAAAGGCGAACGCGGTCCAAGCTACGGGGCGGTTATCCCGGGCGAACCTGGACCCAAGGGTGAACGAGGTACGTCGAAGTTGTCAACTTGCGAGGCGCCTTCGCTAACGTGGTTTTTGACAAGCATTTGCTCTCGCCTTTAGGCCTTCCTGGTATGGATGGAAAACGCGGCAAGACAGGACCGCCTGGATCTCGCGGCGTCAAGGGTGTTAAAGGGTTACCGGGCAGGGACTTGGTTGGTCCAAAGGGCGAACGAGGACCAACTGGTGTTCCAGGAGCACAGGGACCTGCAGGTAAGAAACCCTGCCACCCAACACCACTACCGTGAGGGATGACCACCACACAGTTCACGCATTGTCTTGTCTGTAGGTGAACGAGGTCCTGAAGGTCCAGAAGGTCCTCCTGGAGAGCCTGGAGAAGACGGTCCAAGCATAGACGGCGTAAAAGGTCCTCCAGGTGTCAAGGGTCAACCCGGAATCCCCGGTCTTCGGGGAAGACCTGGACCTAGAGGCCCAACTGGTCCACAGGGCGACTGCGCCTACTGCCCAGACGGACTTCCTGGTCCTAGGGGTCCAAAGGGCTTCCCTGGAAGGCCTGGACGTCCAGGGGCTCCTGGCCTTGATGGTGCTCCAGGAGCCAAGGGTCAACCAGGAGTTCAGGGCCCTGATGGTCCAATGGGACCTGCTGGACGAAAGGTACACTCCTAGCTGTAGCTCACAGAAGTCACACCAAGATGTCTTCGATAACGCATTTGACTTCTTATAGGGTGTCAAAGGAGAGCCTGGACCAATGGGCGAACGCGGTCCTGCCGGTGAACCCGGACGCATTGAATTCATCAACCAGACAGTGCTTGACGCTCCAAGAGGACCCGATGGACCTCCAGGCAGGGCTGGACCTCGCGGTCCTGTTGGACCAAAAGGATTCCCTGGACAACGTGGACCTCGTGGGCCTGCCGGTCTGAAGGTGAGTTGAACACCTCACGTTCTTGCGCCTGTCTATGCTTGTAACCTAGGGATGACTGCATGTTGCTGTTTGCCACAGGGTGAACCCGGAACAAGAGGACTGCCCGGTTTCAGTGGACCGCCAGGCATTCAAGGCCCCCCTGGCGACCCTGGTCCCGATGGAAGGGTAATGAGCGCACAGAAGGGTGAACCCGGACCCCCTGGTCGGGATGGCTACACTGGACCCAAGGGTGAAAAGGGTGAAAGGGGTGAGTGCTAGAGAGAGCGTGCCTGTATTCCATTACAAACTTGTCATCAATGCTAACACGTCCATTTGTCCGTCGCAGGACCGGACAGGATCATCGAACAGCTCCAGGAACACCTCAAGGGTGAACCCGGTCCGAAAGGTGAAAAAGGTGAACCAGGCGTGCCTGGCTTCCCTGGTGTTCAAGGTAAAGAACTTCCTCTCTCGTGAAGTTGTTTTACTGTACCCACTGGAACAGGACTAAGGTCCTTCTCTGGCTTCAGGTGCACCTGGTGAGAAGGGTCTACGTGGGACTGATGGCAAAGATGGAAAGAAAGGCTATCCCGGAGAGGTTGGACCTGAAGGGCCACAAGGAGAGAAAGGAAGACGAGGACCAAAGGGTCAACCGGGGTTGCCTGGAAGTCGCGGGCCCGATGGACGAACTGGACCCCCAGGCCCTACCGGACCCAAGGGACAACGCGGTCCGGAGGGAGAACGCGGTGACATTGGTCCTCCGGGTCCCGATGGTGGTTCTGAACCTGGTCTTAGAGGTGAACGAGGCGAGCCTGGCGAAAAGGGCCGAAAGGGAGAGCCTGGTGCGCCAGGGTTGCAAGGACCGCCAGGCGAGAAGGGACCCAAGGGAATCGCTGGTGTTGCCGGCCTTCCTGGACCGGTTGGACCAATGGGCTTTAAAGGTGAACGTGGCGAGCCTGGTGAGGTTCTCTATGGACCTAAGGGTCCTAAAGGTCCTCGTGGGCCTCAAGGCTACCCTGGTGTTCGAGGTCCAAAAGGTGACAGGGGTCCAGATGATTTCGTCAGCATCGGATTGAAAGGAGAAAGAGGCCAGAAAGGACAACCTGGGGAGCCCGGAGCTACTGGCTTAGACGGTCCGCCTGGTCCAAAAGGTAAACTCGGTCCACCGGGACAAGCTGGTCCTGACGGTCCACGGGGTGAAGCTGGCGACATCGGCGAAATGGGACCGGTGGGACCTCCTGGACGTCAAGGCCCTAAGGGACAGCCCGGTGTTCCGGGAGAGCCTGGACTGGAGGGTCTTGAAGGACCCGCAGGACCACCTGGTGTCCCAGGTCCGAAGGGTGACCCCGGACCAAAGGGCTATCCTGGTGACAAGGGTGACATCGGACCACCAGGCACAGGAGCCTCGGGCGTCAAAGGCGAAAAGGGTCAACCAGGTAAAGTAAACAACAGTAATCTGACGTGGAAGTAGTCAGTTTCAAAGGCTAATGATGCTTCCTGTTCTTCAAGGTCGAATGGGGTCTCCAGGCGAACCGGGTCCAGATGGTCTTCCTGGGCCAAAAGGAATGCCGGGGCTTCCAGGTCAGTCGATTCAAGGTCCACCGGGGCCTCGGGGTCCCAAGGGAGAACAGGGTCCCCAGGGTCCGCCTGGAATCAGCAAACCGCCTGCCAGAAAAGGCGCTGCAGGTCCTCCCGGAGCAAAAGGACCTCAGGGACCCAAAGGCGAGCCTGGTCTCCCTGGTCCTGAAGGTCGCCCTGGTCCTCGTGGGCCTACTGGACCCATTGGTGACGAAGGACCTCAAGGACGTCCGGGTCTGCCTGGTCCAGCCGTAGGTTTACACTGAAGTCCTTTTATTTTCTGACGACTTAGCACTTCATCCTTCACATATGGTGTGTTTCCACTGACAGGGTCCGAAAGGTCCAAAAGGACGACCAGGAATACTGCTGGGTGAACCCGAACCAGGTGAAAAGGGAGAACGAGGAATGCCTGGTCCACCTGGAGATGATGGCGCGCCTGGACTACAGGGATCAAAAGGCGAACCTGGACTAATGGGACCTCAAGGAGCTCCCGGTCCGCAAGGACCCAAGGGTCTTCCTGGAGTGCCAGGCAGAAAGGGAGCTCGTGGACCCGAGGGACCTCGTGGCCAGGATGGCCTCCAAGGACCGCGTGGAACCTACGGCCCTCGTGGACCTAGAGGACCCCAGGGACCTGCTGGTGCGTAACAGCCGATGCCTCTCCAACACACTCAGTGACTTGAGGAGGGTTTCTGAAACTTGTTTCTTATTGCTTTCAGGCATGAAAGGAGACCAGGGTCCAGATGGTGAACCGGGTGATTCAATGGATGGACTGCCTGGTGCCAAAGGTGAACCTGGTGAGACAGGGCCAATGGGACCGCCTGGAATCAAGGGCGTGACTGGAGCCCCCGGTAACCGTGGACGTCCGGGTGAACCTGGTGATCCGGGTCCTGATCTTGTTGGTGTAAAGGGCGCCAAGGGTGAAAGAGGCTTGCAAGGCAGACCAGGTCCACACGGAGCTCGTGGACCCAAGGGACCCAAAGGCATATCCTATCCTCAGCCCGGTGAACCAGGCCCCGACGGACCCCAAGGTCCAAAAGGCGTCAAGGGTGAACGTGGACCCCCAGGACCTGATGGACAACCTGGTCCTAAGGTAAGAACAATTCACCATCACTGTGGCTTTGAAAACAAATTGCCACTTGAAGAACAGAGTCGTGTGCTGTAGAGGTCCCTGTTGAATGCAGCAAGTGCTTGTTGTGTCTAGGGTGAACGTGGAGTTTCAGGAAAGCCCGGAGAGAAAGGCTTTCCTGGTCCCGATGGCTTGCCCGGCGTCAGCGGACGTGATGGACCTCCTGGACCACAAGGATTCAAAGGCGAGAAGGGCTTCCGCGGAGCCAAGGGTGAGCCAGGGCTGATGGGCCCGGTTGGGCCAAAGGGCGAGACTGGTGATCGCCTGTCTGGTGAAAAGGGTGAGAAGGGACAACCTGGTCCTATGGGTCCAACAGGCGAGAAGGGACCGCGTGGTCCCCAAGGCCAGCCCGGTCCCCAAGGACCCACTGGCGAGCCCGGACAGAAAGGCGAACCTGCTCCGATGGGTCCGAAAGGCTACGAAGGCCCTCCAGGTGAACCTGGACCTCGTGGACCGACTGGTCCTCCAGGCGACGTTGGTCCTGCCGGCGAGCCTGGTCTTCCTGGACGTGTTGGTGACACACGCGGCAACACCGGCTACCTCTTCGCCAAGTAAGCGCAGGACGTCTCCCACCAACTCCACATCTTGAGCTTCAAGTAACCCCATGTGCTAACCATTTTGCGCTGTGTTGTGTTGTGTAGGCACAGTCAGACCATGCGGATACCAGAATGTCCCACCTCGACAAGGAAGCTCTGGGAGGGCTACTCCTTCCTCAGCATGTCAGGCTCTGAAAGGCCGCACGTCAACGACCTCGCAAGCCCCGGATCCTGCCTCCAGATGTTCAGTCCAATCCCATTCATGTTCTGCGAGAAGCAGGAGAACTGCTACTACGCCCAACGCAACGACCGTTCTTACTGGCTCAGCACTGAAGACGAGCCGATGATGTGGAATCCGATTCCAGTCAACGAGTCCCAGATGCACATCAGTCGGTGTGTCGTCTGTGAGGCTCCAAGCACGGTAAGTGATTCCCACACGGAATCAAATAATCAGATATTCAATCGACTAACTTTGGACCTTCTTGCCTGCTTCAGCTATACGCCTTCCACTCGCAGACACTGGAGATTCCAAAGTGCCCGATGGGATGGCAGGACATGTGGGTCGGAAGCAGTTACCTCATGGTAGGAACCCTTCTATGTCCAGTTATTGAACTATATTTATCAGGATAACATTTTGAATAACAGTGTGAATGCATGAGCTCTAGTTTAGAGCAAACTTTATTGACCAACCACAAGCCAGAAACGTTATTCAGTCACAGCCCCTCATATGGTGCTTCTCATTCATTCGTGTTCCTCATTGGCTGCTGATAATGAACATTGATAATTCAAATACACAGTGGCACAGGATCGGTTGATATCGGTGGGGACCAATATGTCTGCACTCTTTTGAGGCAGTACCGTAAATTATCGATTTTCCATCATCTAGCACTTCCTTTCACCACACGAGGGTCCTGCTGGAATCACGGCATTTTATTTCAAAAGGACATTCAAACTGCTCTCATTGATGTTAATCTGACAGGTGAAACGGGATACACCACAAAAGTTTAAAGCGCAATCACAGGTTGTCTTAGTGTATTAAAAAACCGATATTAACATTCGTGCAGAATCGCAAATTCACCATCCAGTCATGTGAGTCAAATTTCGACAGACACACAAATCGAAAAGTTTCTATGGGGTATTTCAGTTCAGCCGTTATCTCATCGTAATTTGAAGTCATTTGCAATGGTTTCGATGATGTGTGACAGACTATAGCCATTAATTAAACTGCGAAACGCATTCAAGAGATCCCCACGAATCTTAAGTAGACGTTGCGTCGCGACGGTCCACTCAGTGTAGGTTCAAAAGCTGGGGCGTTGGTGAAATGTTGATGAACCTATTTTGCCTCCTCCTCATCGCCACATCTGGCACAGCTGTGTACTTTCGTCTGAATATCTTCGATGTAGTGTGGGGGAGCTT